GTTAGAGCACTGGTCTTGGACCCCCATGGTCGTTCAGATGCTTGCGCTCTGACAGCTGCCTCGAGCCCGATCTCACGGTGAGAAAATGACATATCGCCTTGGGAAGTCAAAACGTAGTGAATTGAGAGAGGCCTATGTCCTGCAGTGGAATAATTGGCTGCTAAAAAAATATTTATATATAATTTTCTTAACCATTTATTCCACTGCAGGACATAGGCCTCTCTCAATTCACTATTGAGGGGTTATATGGCAGTCACCCTTCCTAATCAACCGAGGTTTGGCACGCTAACACTTGTACCACGGCGGTAACTTCCCCTACGACACCTGCGTTTGACTTCTCAAGGCGGTAACTTCCCCTACGACACCTGCGTTTGACTTCTCAAAGCGACATATCATCTTGAGCAGTTAAACGGAGTTGCCGTAGAGGAAATCCCAGTTAATTATGAAGGTTAGACTGCCAAATAACCTCTCAATTATGAATTGAGAATCCTAAATCCTGGTATGGAATGTTAAGGGAAATAAATATATGTATGTATATAAATATTCATATATGTAGACATATATCTGTATATATTTATATATATATATATATAATTACCTATCTATCTATATAGTATGTATATATTTGCATATACAGGGACACACACACACACACACACACACACACACACACACACACACACACACACACACACACACACACACACACACACACACGTATACATATAGATAGATAGATAAATATGTATGTATACATAAATATAGATATATAGGTAAATATATATATAAATGTGCATATATATGTATGTGTATATGTATAATGTGTATATATATACATACATGTACATACATACATGCATATATATTTCATTATCATCATCATCAGCCTGAATCAGTCTACTGCAGGACGTAGGCCACTCTCAATATCTTCCAACTTTGTCTGTCTTGCATTTTTTGTTTCCAGTCTTGGCTCCCAAATTTCGCTATTTCATCACATCATCTTGTTATTGGTCTGGTCCTTGGCCTCTTTATGTTATCTATAGCCCAGTCTGTTACTTTCTTTGTCCGTGTGTTGTCCTGTCTCCGACATATATGATCTGCCCATTGCCATTTTTTCTTTATAATGCTCCCAAGTATGTCTTCCACTTTTGTCTATTCACTGATCTACGTCTCCCTCATCCAATCCCTTAGGCTAGTTCCCAACATCAACCTCTCTATCCCTCTCCAGAATTTCCTCTTCTCTAGATGTGTTTGTCTGTATGACTTGTCCATTACCTCTAGCGCTTTGCCTTGTATATGTATCTGTTCCAATTGAACTCTACTGTTGAACATGATCTTAGTCTTTTTTTTTTTTTTTTTTCATCCTCAGTCCAACTTACAGATTTTCTATTCAGATTGTTTATTAGTAGCTGCATTTTACTTGCAGATTCACAGAAGAGAACAATATCATCTGTCTCCTATTTTGATACCCTTTCCATTCCATTCTAGCTTCTTGAATATTTCCTCAAGGCAATCTGTAAACAGTTTTGGCGAGATGGTATCATCTTGTCTAACATCTTTTTTGATTGGTATTTTATTGGTTTCCGTGTGGAGCTTGATGGTTGCTGTCCCATCTTTGTATATATCTTCCAATATTTTACAGTATACCTTTTCTACTCCCTGTCTTCAAATAGCTTCTAGTACTGCTGGTATTTGTAGAGTCAAATGCATTTTCGTAGTCGATGAAAGCCATACACAAGAGTTTTCCTATATATTTTTTTTTCTCTCTCTCTTATTTGGGTGTGTGGCTATGGTCTTTTGCTGAGAATCCCCTGCAGAAGCCTGCCTGTTCTCTAGGCTGGTTAGAATCCAAACTGTCAGAGTTGCAAGTTGTGATGACTTTTGTGAACAGTTTGTAAGTAACTGAAAGGAGGCTTATGGGTCGGTAGTTTTTTAGATCCTTTCTATTCCCTTTTTTATGTATCAAAATAATTGCTGCATTTTTCCAGGCTTTCAGAGTTTTTATGTTGATAACGCATTTGTTAAAAAGATTAGCTAGTTTCACTGTTGCACTTTCTCCTGCACCTACAATAAGGTCTATACTAATTCCATCTTCACCTGGTGTTTTCCCTCTTTCCATGCCTTTAAGCACTCTTTTTATTTCTTCAGTTGTGATGTTAAGTACGTCTCTAATTGCCACGTTTACTACTGTCCGTGGCTGTTCATTTGAGTTGTTTAGATCCATGTAAATGTCTTCCACTATTCTTATGATTTCATTCTTATTATATGTCACTTCTCTGTCTGGTTTCTTTATTGCATACATTTGATTTCTCCCTATTCTGAGTCTCCTTTTAGCTGTTTTCATACTGGTACCTGGGATCACAGTTTCATTTATCATTTGAGTATTGAATTTCTATACATCTCTCTCCTTTCTATTTATAGTCTTTGTTAGTTTAGCTATTTCTATCTTGTTCCTGTTTGATGATACTTTTATGACCCTACATTTTTGCATAATCTAAGTAGCTTTATACCGAGAGCTTGCTGGAGCTTTGCTTGATGTCCTTCCCACCTACTTCAAGTGTAGCTTCCTTTATTGTCATTCCTTTATTATATGTTTGTTGATTTGGTCAGTGTTGAGATCTTAGTCACTGAGTAGTGAATATTTGCTTTGAATGTTAAAGTTAATTTTTGTTGCCCTGGTCTTTAAGTTAGCTAAATTTAGCTGTGTTTTTCGTATGAATTTGCTCTTTCCCTTCT